CAATGATGAAAAAAGTCTTGTCCAAACAACTGACCTGGAATGGTCATACGATGTCTTATAGCTATCTAGAAAAACAATTTCAAGAAATAGTAATATGAGAAATTATTTTCGCTAATAGACATGCTAGACATTTGTCTTCTTTCTCAGAAAGACATCCTTGATATTTAGAATAGCTAGATATGCAATTGGTGTAATTCAACTGATACCAATGAATAAAATTGGATGTACATGCTACCAAAGATTCCAAAAAGTTTAGTTTTTAATGCCATCACTAATTGATCCATTGACTTACACACCAAAACATATCGATACGGTAAAGAAAAAAAGAAACTGCATTTTTCATTCCGTTCCTGTAGCAATAATAAGAGGATGACTTAACATCAGTATCACGAACACACTAATGTCAATTAAACATTAGTAAAGAGAAATGCGCAATTTATTTTCAGTTTCTGACGTATAAGAGGTACTTTATATAGAAAGCTTTAAAATATTATTCATAATGTTATATTGATAGTGTAAAACTTAATCAATTGACGTTTACTTACATATCAACATCATTCTTAGAGTTATGAAATGTTTTGCGAAAACTAAACACAAGAAAGTAAATCCTCAATCATTTATAAACTAAGATTTTGTATAAGCAGATAATGAATACTTTCTAAGATACATAAATTTTTCTACTCTTGAATGAAAAATATTTGCTTGTCAAACTTGATTGTTTTATGTCTATTTCAGTGGATAACTGAGAGATGACCGAATAATATTCTCAAAAGAACAACCCAAGTGAGCGAAAGACGGGCTAAATGACTAGTCTTTTTCCTAGTCATGTCGACTTGTGATAGCCCGTCTTTGTCTCAAATTCGACTAGGCCATGACTAGTCCGGGATTTTTGGCCGTCATGCAACCCTGTCTAAATCACATGATTGACGGGGGACATTACACGTGTCTTGTCTAGTCTTTTTTTTGAGAAAGACTCGTCTCGGACTGGCCTGAAGTCGGTTGGCACAGAATGTTATTGTCTAATATGCAGACTAGTCCTAGACGAGGACTTTTTGAGACAAAGACTAGTCAGAACGGGTGACAAGGACGCCAGTCTATTTTGATCACTATATATCTATGTATGAAATTCGAAGAATTTCAGACTAGTCCCAGACGAGGACTTTTTGAGACAAAGACTAGACATGATGATCGTCATGACGGCCGTCTGATATATCTGAAGCAGTAAAAAAAAGTATGTCTAAGAACACTAGTCCCTGGTGGAGTCATATACTAGTCTGAAAGCTGCTACAATTAGCGTCTAGGACTAGTCTTGTAATTATCACCGTCGGTGTCTGGACTAGTCTAAACGAAAGGAAGATAAAGACAAAGAGCAGATTCGAACATGTGAACTTTGTATTACTTACGTTTAGCATTTAACCAATTGAACCATAGGATCCGAAAGATAGTTCTTATCATTTGAAGATCTTTCTCATACTCTGATTCACTTGTAACAGCCTGAAACTTACACATTTTTCCAGTGAAATATCATTTTTATTTGTATCAGTTCGTAGAAAATATTTAATGCACAATATTGTCTTTATCGATTTATTGGTTTTTGCTTCAATACAAAATATTTTTTATTTTGAACCGTCGAAAATAAAATTAATGAAATCTTTCAATTATTTTCTTCCACATTATTTTTTTTTATTATAATGTGATCTTTACAAGTTTGTCTATTTTATATTAAATTAAAGTTAATTTTTAAAATAACGAATTATTTTATTTCAATTTAACTATTATCTTTTAAATTAGGATATTCAAGTACAGTTACACAATTACCAGGTCTAAAAATCATCGCATGTTTTTTTATAACGCATTTTGGATGTTTAAGATGGAAAACATTTGATCTTTTTAAAATGAATATATTTGGAACTTCTATAAATTTATTTTCCAATTTAAATTTCAGCTTTGATGAATCCGGTCTTTTTTCAATAAGTTCTTCGATTAACAATCTAATAGTATTTTGTTTTGACTTCACAATTGCTCGTATAAGACCCAGTTTTTGTTGATTATCGGAAAAATAAAATGATATACATTTATCAGCACATTGTTTACCATATGATATTGTTGTTGTTTTTAACAAAACATTTGAAATTTTAACAGAATGAAAAAATATTACAGGATCTTCGAAATAAGACTGTGCGATTGTAGCTATACCATTTTTACTATTATCATATAGATTTGATGAAACATTTTTCGGCAGGCTACATCCATCAATAATAGTTTTATAATGAACTGATGATTGTTTTCGATTCAATAATTGTTCATTAAATGTAAATAGTGAAAGTGGATAAGAAAGATTTCGGTGACAAACGATAGCATCTCGAAATAAAACATGCTGCCGTATCAATTGTTTAGCAAAATGAACTGTACCATGGACTGTATTGATTAAATTTTTGTCGATTCCTATGTATATATTATTTAAAAAGACATGAGTATTGAAGTTGTACATTACCTTCATAACTGAAAGTAGAATACATCCATAGTGGACCAGTATATTTCAAACTTTCACTAACATGTAATAAAGAATGTATGTTTGTCGTCATATGTCGTAAACCAAAAATATTTTGATATTGTTCGACAAAATAATATAAAAGCTTCTTTACCAGATATATTATTTCATAGGTAATATATTCTGATGAAGCAAGATTTATTGCTGTTAAAAAGGATAATAACATCTTTTGTGTGGATTTAGGTATATGGCGTACTATTATTGGTATTCCAAAATGAAATAATGTTCTAAATTCACTTGCTTTGAATTTGGACATTAATTTAATGGATCTAAATCTACGTTGTGTAGTAGATGGAATTTTTATGTGAGATAATAGTTCATCAATATAATCTATTTTTTTAAATAATGACCACTCTTGTTTACGATATTTACGATCAACTGAAAGTTGCATTAATCTTGAGGGTGTGGGTGTGGGTGTGGGTGTGTGGGTGTGGGTGTGGGTGTGGGTGTGGGTGTAGGTGTGGGTGTGGGTGTGGGTGTGGGTGTGGGTGCGGATGTGGGTGTATATGTGGTTGTTGATATTCTATACTTTTACATTTACACCCAGACCCTCATAGTGCATTTGGAGCTGGAGTCACTGAGACATATCCTAATTCTTATCCATTGCAAATTCGCACAGACACCGCTATAATACAGAAATAGGTAAACAAATTGTTTTCATTATATGAGAAACACACTAACAATAGCTAGCAATTATAGAAATCTGAGTTTGAATATCAATTTCACCTTATTTAATGATCGAAACGTGACTTCAGAAAGCAAAACTGTTCATGATGTTCTTTTTGTGTGAGTTAACAAATCTACATACAGCCCATGAAAATTAGCTAGCCAAATGTCTCATCATCATTTATCTTTGTTTTTGAAAATGAATGTCAATTGATCGGCTAATCCCAATCTAATTGGATTTGAGTTTTGTACTCGATCGAAATTTAATTCGATAATGATCGATGTCGTGCCAATCGGTATCAAATCATTATGATCGCGAAATATCAGAGCCATTTTACCTTGACGATCGTTATTTGATATTCGACCTAAATAGAAATCCAGTACCAATCAGTAGAAAACAAGTTGCTCAAATCGAACTAGATTAATAAATATCTACCAACTGTTACTGTTTGATTGCGAGTTTCTCCTTTTCGAAAAATGATTTTCATTATTGTCGCACCTGGTTCATTGTCAATACTACCCAAATAGCCACTGATTAGATATCGAGCTCGACGTGTAACAATTAACATCGCCAATAGAGCCACATCGATTTCCTGCCACAGTGCACCATACGTATGTGTACGTGGGAGAACAGCGCAGAACAGGCATGACCGCCAATCCTTATTCATTCCATCGATTTTCCAACCACTAGCATTGTAAAGGACTTAAAAAGCATCTCCATCTCGTTGCCAACCAAGAGGAGGCTTTCTTCCAGTGAAATTTTCGTATGGATTACCATAACATTCTCCTTCTTCAGCACCACCGTTCTTAAGCAAATTGACTCCAAATGAACGGAACGATGTTATAAATGTTCCATTTGGTAAAAACGAATCAGATATATTCACATAAGTCTTATATGGTGTATTGAAATTTGAACCAATTAAATTGACACGACGAAAGTCAATCTTACTTGAACTCGGTACAGGATTGAATTGAGTATTTTGAAAATCGACGTGATTGAAGCGAAGGTGTTCGAAATGACAATTATTAAAGTGTAATCTACTGAGATTGCTTTGATAGAATTCCACATAATCAAAGATGACCTTGAGGAATCGCGCCTTTTTCAAGCTGACATTTTTAAACAGTAGATTAGATGAAAGCTTCATCTCATCAAATTCACTTCGATCAAGATTGGTGCTATGAAATCGAACATTCAGACCGAAATGCGTTTCTTGAAATCTTGATTCACTCAAATCGGCTTCTGAATATTAGACATGAATGGCTCATATTTGGTTTTCCATATGTTTGAATGTCCATGTTGTTCGTTTTAGATTACATTTGAAGAACGAAGTATTCTGAAGTTGAGTTAGATAAAAGTCGACATTTTCCAAATTTGCGAGAAGGAAACTGACGCTATAAAAAGAAATCGTGTTAAAGCTCGCATTGTTCAAATCACTAAAATCAAATCGAGCAGATTTCAACTGAACATAATTGAATGAAGTATGTAACAAATCAATGCTACTAAGTCGGACTTTTTCAAGATTCGTTCTTTTGCTAAATTTATCAGTATTACCAAATCTGACATTGGATAAATCAGCCCCGCCTAAATCAACAAATCGATAACCAACATCCCTGACATACAAGAGTTCACTATCATAAAGAAATTTAATTAAATACCATTTGCGTTTCAGATCGATCTGATCTAGAACTGATATGGTTCTCGATCGAACAAATAAAAGTTCAGAAGATGTTAAATTGATATTCAGTTTGAGAATGAGGCTGGTTAAATCGCGCATATACGGATCGTAAACATTTTGCATACGTAATTCTTTTGCTGCTCGATCATTGGAATCTTGTTGTTCATGAAGTTTCGCTAAATCTGCAATATTCTGACATTTTTCAGCTGCTCCTTGTAGTTGTCCTTGACGTTCCATTCGTGTTAAATCAGCTTCTCGTTGATAGCGTGTACTGTTAGAGTCTTGCAGAGTTGTTACTACTGTGAAAGCGCCAATCATCAAAGGTACGAGAATAGCGGCAAATAATTTCATTAGTTTGATTAAAAGTAAATATTTCTTTCGATGAGATTTTACTGATTGTTTACATCCAGATGGGAGGATCAGTGGTCGTATTCGACGACGATACATTAACCAAACGTTAGGCATGATTTGAAATATCGAGTGAACAAGTTCAACTAATTCCACTGAAGAATAGTAGGCAGAATTGAGCTTGATATCGACATCGGAACATGACTGACAGACAAGCAGTGAATTATTTATTCTTCATGATCAAATATCAACTCGACGTTTTGTCAGAATCTATACTATGAAGGAGCATACCGAAGCGAGAGATTCTATTTATTCTAGGGATGGTATTTTAGTCTCAATTTATTAAATAAAGACAAATGAATCCTATCTTTGAAAACTAAAGATAAATCAATCCGTTGTCTTTAGAAAGTAAAGATAAATAAGCCAGTATTTACTTGAAGAGTGGGATGCGTGGGTGTGGGCTGAAGGAATAAAGTACAGCCACAGCCACACCCACACCCAAAATGGATCTTTTTTCATATATCGAATGCTTCAGAAAATCCCAATGACTCAATATTTTAAAGCGAAAATTTTATGATAAATAGAATTCACTACGATGTATGGCAATAAAAAATTTCAGCTCATTTAGTTGAGTCATTCGTGAGATATCGTTGCATTAGCACACCCATTTATATATGGGATCATTTTTAGGTCTTTTCGTAAAATGCTTATAAAAAACCAAGAGATTAATATTTTTTGAATCGGTTTGCGTCAAAATTCATAAAACTCTTTCCTCTGCAATATATCTTAAATTGAGAAAAATCTGGCGATATCGATTGAACAACTTCGGTCGTGGTTTACATGGACTGGCTCTTAATGCATTCTTTTGCAACTCATCAGAAGCCTGAAAATGGCATGAGAAAATAATTTCATTTAATCACATAAAATTTATTTCTCAATCAACTTTATTATCTATATTGTTACATTCACTCTTTTAAATAAACACATTTATGACAAAAAAATCAAGTAAGAATTCACTTAGAGTTTAATAAATCGACTTTTAAATGAAATTAATTGAAATATACAAATATATTTGAAAACTGAAAATAAAATCAATATTGAATTACATATTGAATAACATATAAAAGTCATTGGAATTTTTCAACAAAAAGATATTTGAGTTGAACAGACATTGAAATAAGATGAGTGAATATTTTTGCACGTACTTTATCTTGATCTGTAATGGAATTGGCGCTTATATCCTCCCCACTATTTTGTTTTTCGTTTAACTAGTTTTTTGTTAGAACTTAGGTGAGGATATGAGATCACTAAACCAAATCTTGGACATTTTTAGCTTTAGCAAAAAAAGGGTGTGGGTGTGAATGTTGGTGAACTTGAGTGTGGGTACAGATGTAGAGAAAAGAAACACCCACACCCAAGAAAACATGTGAATAGAGTCAAATGGCAATCTATGCCTTAATTAATTATAGTTTTGCAGAAGGAAATACAAAATACCAGACATGCGCATTTATTTCATAGAGTTAAAAGAACTATTAATTGGAACTAAAACTACTGTAAGCAATGATTGATTATTCAAAATAATGGAATAACTAAAAATTGATAGAAAAAAAAACAAAGCTACTGAATCATTAATAATTTTGTTGCATTAATTACTTAGGATGAACCAAAAGTTTTGATCACGGAGATGGGAGATAGTCGCCCATCCTCGTGGTCAGAACTTTTGGTCAACAACTCTTATGCCACAATATGCAGCGTGAAGCGCTCTACAATTTCCACAAGACCGTTTTCTTTATACTTCCACTTTTTGTTTTCAAAAGCGACAAAATTCTAAGCGACCAATTTTCGACGCTGCAAAAATTCTACACGAATGAGGAATTCCTTTTTTTTTTGAAAACAAAAAGTACA